TTGAATGATAATTTAAACAAGCTGGTAACCTCTTGCTTACTCAAACCTGAGCAGAAACTCAACATTGTCAATCAATATCTGTTCCCGGGTCTTACTTACCCTCTCCAAACTGCGCCCCTAACAAAGCTGCGTCCTGCTATCCTGGAGGGCATCGACATTATGATTCGCAGGAGCGTAAAGGCCATTATTGGACTCCCTGCAAATACTTCCACAGCGATGTTGTATGCCCCCAGGAGATACCGAGGATTGGGATTAATCCGCTGCCAATGGGAGGCTCCTCTTCAACATTGGTCCATTGCTCAGCGACTGTCCAATGTACCAGATGCCCTTTTTCAGTCTACCTTCGATTATTCGGCTGAAATTACTGAATGTGCCGAGAGATGGGGGTTGATCAGGGTCATCGAAATGTGAAAGCTCTACGGCAGTCGCTGCGAGAAAATGCATTTGAGGAATGGGCCAACTGCAGGTGGCAGGGTATTGGTGTTCGCCATTTTAAAGAGACCCCGAAAGCGAATAGATACATCTATGAAAAGCAAGTACTTTCTGGGTCTGCCCTAAAACTAAACATTAATTATGCACCCCTGCGTGGAGTCCCAGGAGTCAGCGGACAGGTCGGAGAAGTTGGGTCCCTCTGCCGTAAATGCGGCAGAGAGTCTGAAACACCAGCCCATGTGCTGGGAAAATGCCCCAACAACTCCCTCCTCATAACACGTCGTCACCAACGGGTCAAGTTCGAGTTGATGAGGCTCCTTAGGGAAAGGAAATTCACCTGCTTTGACGAGGTATATTGCATCGATAGTGAAGGCTCTACGAGATACGCGGATATCGTCGCATTTCCCAAGACAGGAAGGACAGCGCTGATCTTGGATCCAACTGTCCGCCTTGAGAGCAATGACCTCGATCAAGCGGGTGAAATGGAAAGGGAAAAGAAGAACACGTACGATAAATGTATCCCTTTCCTAAAAGATAAATTCCGTGAGACCTTCGGAGAGAGAGAGAGTTCACCGTGAGAGGCTTCTGGTTTGGGTGTCGCGGAACTATCCCAAAAAGAACAAGGAGCTTCCTCGAGGAACTAGGTGTCGACATTAAGGACGTAGCGGGATTGGCTGAAAATATAGTCCTCGACTCCCTGGGAATCATTCACCACCACGTGCATGGCTAGCCCGAGAGTTTTAATTTATGTATTTATTTATTTATTTAATGAATAATTGAAAACAATAGAGATAAAGAGAGAGAAGTGAGAGAAAGGGAAACTAAATGTTTAAAAAAAAAAAAAAAAAAAAGCATAAACAATGAAAGGAAGGAAAAAAGGAAAAAAAAGGAAAAAATAAAAATAAAAATGTATATATATATATATCTATTTTACTAATATTAACTAAGACTTCTGTATATTTATATATAAATTCATATATTGTCCTAAGGATAGAAGAGTATGCTGTGTGTATAGCAACCCAATATAATTGGGCAGCAATCCTTTATATTTTATATTTTATGAAAATAAAGTGTTTCTCTCTCTGTCTCAAGAAACGAAACCAATTTAAACACAATGCTTATGTATTTATTTTGTTTTCCTTTTATAAATGTCATATATTGTTACTCTTACTTCTTCTTTCCCTTGCTCTTGTGCCTTTTATCTTCGAGCGCAAGGCTCAGTACATTTCTTCCACTCATTTCTATCTTTGGTCATTTAATGCATCTGACCCCATGTCTTTCCTCTTATCTTTCCCAGGTTTTCCAAGTGTTCTCTGTAAGTCATCCTGGGTCCATTCCATAGGTTCTTAGTCCTTCAGATTTCACCCCCAAATACCATTTTGTCCTACAGGAATCAGGAATGAAATTCTTAGAGTATGGAAAAACACTACCAGAGTACTTTTCTCTCCAGGAATACAGACAATATCCTCGATACGATGGCCGTAGAAGACTTAGAATCCGTGAAAGCCAGGTGGAGAGTAATGAGAATAGTGAGGATGATTTTATAGAGGAATATAAGATTATATCGGCTATGGATAAAATAATTTTTTTTTTTAATGTAATAAACCTGTTTTTTTTTTTTTTTTATGTATATGGATATGTGTTGTGTACATATGTGTATATATATATATGTATGTGTATGTGTTTATGTGTATATATATATATATATATATATATACATATACATATATATGTGTGTGTGTGTTTGTATGTGTATATATGTGTATGTATGTATGCGTTTATTTTTACTAGAACTTTTTTTGACACTGTTCACTAGAGTTTTTTGACCCTGGGCCCACACTACAGGCAAATCGAAGCAAATTCCCGCAATTTGCCTCAATTTGATGGGAATTTGCCCGAGTTTGCTAGCGCCAGTGTCGTAGGGAACAAAGGAAAGGGCGAGAGTGGGAGAAGGTGGTGGGGATATTTTGACCTGCTGGTGGAAGGTAATGGGCTGTTTACCCGGGTTTGTTGCATATCCATCCGGAATGGAAAACTTAGGCAAAATTCAAGGAAGTTTTGCATTATGGCCGTTGTGCTGCGCTAGTGATGCATTGAATAGCCACTGTGATTGGCTGAGACAGAAACTTCCGTTTCCCGCCTTTTTTTTGCAATATCCGAAATAAAAAAATTTAGTGCGCACAACACACAACTTTCACTTACCTTTCTACTTTGAATAGAAATTATTTTCTGGAAATGTTGAGCAATTATAAAATTTTTGAAGTGCACTTTTAACGGGTCTATAGCTTAAAGTTTACAGCTAACAAATCATTAACATTACTAAAATAACAGAAACCCTATTAATTATATCAACGGTAGATAATAAAAACGTCCCTACCCCATATTTTTTCGTAAACCACATAACTCCGGTCTCTGAGCAATGTACATATGTCTAGAGAGATTTTAAAGTATATCTCTATATTCAACCTATAAATGATTATGGATTCTACGCCTATTAGTTATTAAACTGTTATTTTCCATTATAAAGTTTACTACAAAGAGATTACGAGATTTTCATCGCCTGTCATAGATAGCTCAAAAGTTTTTACACTAATTTAACAAAGGGAAAATTCATCAAATTACTCACTAATTTAATTTTTTTTAAATGTTATACGACGACCAACGGACGTTGATACCTAATTATTTAAATATAATATCAGATTTAGAATTATTAAAACTATAGTAAATGTATTTAAGGTTATAAACATAGGCTTTATACATCCATGAAATATTTTTATATTTCACTTCTTTCACATTAGTACTATGAAATAGCTTTTTTAACAATAACATTGCGTTGATTAGGTGAATTTTAAATACTTTTTTTCAAACTTAAAAACAGTTTAAATTTAGTTAGTAAATTTCATTTATTTAATTTCCTTGAAAAAATGTGATTTCCGTTAAATAATATTAGTTTACACAAATTATTATTTATAATAATCTCTCTCCATTACTTTCTATATTTCATATTGTTTTTTTCTAAAATTATCCTCTTTCCAATGATATAACTTCTGACAAGTATTTCCGGAAATTCATTTTCATCCTCAATACACATTTTCCCTTTTTTCTCCATTTTTCAATTATCAAATTCTTTCAAAAGTTATATTTAGCATTTTTTCGTAATTCTTAATAATGAAAGATGGTTAATTATTAAAAATTAATCAAATTAAAGGTACTTTAGAGGATGAAATGTTGAACATTTAAGCTATGTAAATTGACATTAATGGGGATAAGACCTCAATGATATTAAAGACCACTTAATTATACAATGATACACGAGTTAAATAAAATTTTTTTCAAAATCAAGATTTTCTGTGCAACCAACTTTCTGTCTTTCAGTAATAACAAACAAATCATTATAAACTACAAAAATTAAATGAAGATATTATTTGCCATTAAATGAATTATGGAAGTTTGTTAGCGGAAGGGTTCATATAAATAAAATTAAATAAGATATAATGAAATATAACATATTATATCTTTGAACATTTTTACATAATATATTTTAAACATCAAAACTTTTAATCCATTACTTGTTATATTTTTCATAACTTATATATATATTTATTATAATATTTCCATATATTTGCTATTTTGTACTTATCATCTTTTTGTGTGTCAGGTATATACATCATAACCTTTCGTACTTATTCATTACCTTTTATTATAATAAACTAAGCTTTTGTTAATTCATCTAATTACGTTTTATTATTCATATCTAATTATTCCATTTTATAGTTGAATTGAAATACTTTATAAAACCAATTATGTCAAGTTACACTTTTGGTAATATTATTTCAGCCAACAATTTGCCCTAACATCGCTGCCATACTCCTATCTACCTTAATAACTAAGTATAATCACTGAACTTTTCATTTTTTAGCTAGATTCTGCATTTACAAAAAAAAAAAAAAACCATTAAGCAAAAAGTTTTTTTATGGAGGGGAGGACTTACAGAACCCTACAACATGTTTTTCAATTGAAAACTCAGAGTTGAAATTTTTAATGATCCCAATACTTCGCATTACATTAAAATAAAATAATGTCCATTTTTACATATTATTTAGTCAATATAAAAAAAGTTCAAAATTTATTTATTTTTTAACCTATGCTTACTCTACTTTAGAGTTGAAAACAAGTATTCATTATTTTTTTAAATGATCAGTTTATCAGTTTCTTTTTTAGTGCCCATATTTGTATCGGTCTGTCAACTAATTTAACATTTCACAGACATTAGTGTTAATCTATATCTGTTTTTTTTATCTTTCTATATCTTCAGTTCAAATAAAACCGAACAACTCGCAAAATTACTAACCTAGACTCTAACAAAGTTGCATTAATAACATTTTAAGCACATATTGAAACACCATAATACAATACTATATTTGTAATTAAATGACTGTATCATGGTTAGAGACTAACATCATACAGTACCAAATTTGATGCCTACTTCAATAAATAATCAGCCATTACTTTCTTTTACTGACTACAACATATATCATTATTTTTGGTGGTAAATTTCCAACATTTTTTGGGTGTTTACATCGTATCACTTTGGAGATATTTAACCTAAGCCTAAAAAAGTTATATTTGTATAAAACATTGTCTGATTAAAATAACAATTAAGTCTAAGTGTGAAAATTATAACCACAAAGTGAGACTGCCTTTGTTTTGTTATTCACATTTTTAATTTTGGAAATTTGACATATACCTATCATTTATTGGTTATTTACACATAAGTTGTAATATATATGTTTGAAGGGAAATGATAGAAGATGTTATTTATAATACATACAACCCATATATTTACAAAATATAATAAATCATATACATAAACTAAATTTAATAATTATAATGTTGCTAGAAAATTAATCTTTATATCTTAACTTTGTTATTATTATACAAAATAGAAATTCTATTAATGAACAAATAAATATTTCTAGGTTCAAATATACAATACAAAATATAAATGAATTAATACAACATACAAATTAATGAATACAAGATATGTTTTTGTTTATACAAAATCTTGAATAAAGGAATATAACATTACAAATAAAGCATTTTTAAATGCATCAGAAAAAGCTGAATAATAACTAATGATTATTCTAATAATTTACTGGATTATTCTCCAGCTTCTTCAAACACCTTTAAAAAGGCTTTATTAATAATATCTCTTTTTGGAGGTACAACCTTACAAGAATTTACAGAAAAAGTGTCTGTTTCATATTTTTTAGATGGCCCAGCATGTTGCTGGAAAATCACTCTTTTTGGTGCATTCGCAATACCACGGGCACAGGCTGCGATTTTGTTTAAACTAGTGCTGGTTTCAATATTACAAATATTTTTATTCCATAAAGTCCGCACACATCTTCCCCAAGCCTCGTTCCATTTCACATATGCACAAACTTTGTTCTGGTTGAGGTAATTGGTCCAATCTTTCTCCTAACATGGACCCATAATTCTGTGCAATTGTTTTGGGTTTATTTGTATTTCCGCACTGTTTTTCTATTATTTGGACGAGTTTATTGAACGGAGCCATAATTTCCTCTTCGCCTTTGTTTGATTTTTTTTTTTTTTGTCTTAGGCTGCAATACATACCGTTGTTCAATAAAGATGAATCATTGATTACTTCAGCCTGTCCTTCATCTTCACACTCAACAGTAGGGGAACGCTGAAAAAAAAAATTACCAATTTTAGGCCTGGTATCATCCAACTAAAAAATCAGATTTTTTAATTTCATTATCATTTTTTCCCTTCTATTTCTTGCCATGCTTATAACACATTTAGTTGAGATTTTCATTTTTAGAGGAGGGTCTATGTCTGGCACACTTTAAGACTAAATTTTACAGAGAACAAATAAAAGCTATGTAACATTTACATTAATAATGAAAGTCGAGGAAAAAACAAAACTAATCCTTAATTGAAATAGGAAACAATGGAATCAAATTCATAACAGAAGAAAATAAATAATTTGTTATGGGTAAACAGATAATGTGGAGGGTTAAGGAAACAAGACAGAATGGCTAAGGCATCATAGGGCATTTTCTCTTTAAAGTCATTACCCTATGTACATTGTTTTGCTATATGAAAAAGTATAAAAAAAATAACTTAATCATAGACTAGGATGGATATCGAAAACTAATAATGAACTTTCAATTAACTAAATATAAATAACTAGTTAAATGCTAAATAATTAACACCCCTCGTCCATTGTTTCCTTTGCGATGATGTACTTATGTTGGACGTTAGAAAAGAAAATAGAACTAAATTAACTTACTACAGACTTAATTGATTGTTTGAATTGAAAAATAATAAAGTAACACTTGCAAATTTAGTAAAAGAGAAAATTAACCATTCACTAAATTGTAAAAACTATCTATACAATAAATCAAAGAATCTCATAAATAAATGGAGAAAAGAATTTTTAAATACATTCCTTGAATCAAACAATTGAAAAAATATTGGCAGCTCATTGAAAAGTAATTAAGTGAAAATTCATTATTTCTTTAAGTAATCAAGAACTTTGAATATCTTTTTCTTTATAAAATCAGAAAATTGTGTGCTTCTTGTAAGTATAATTGATGCATAAAAGGGTTTGTTTCATTTCCATGCCCATACAGTGTTTTTGTATAGGTAAATAAAGTCAAAATTCATTAAAAAAATCTTGAAAGTTAACCTATATCAAATATGCACATAGTGTATGAATTGCATGCAGTAAACGGAGAATATATCAAGAATTTTCACTGGTTAGAGAATTAATAATTGACTATGTTTAACGGAAGGAAATTGACAATCCTAGCAATTGTGTGTGAAAAATTACATAAAATCGCGTTAATTAGCTTTACAGAAATATATTTTGAAAAACAAGGTAAAATGTATTTATAGAGAAATGTCATGGCAAAGAAATAAACAACTGATATTAATAAGGAAAACTAAGATCAATTTTATTCTTACCTTGTATGATTCTCATGAATTTTCGACATCTGCCATCTTCTTTGTTTTCTCCACTTATTTTCTTCTACTTGCTTTTTTTTATAGAAGACATAACCAAAAGTAGCAGTTAACCCCACGCCAATTCTAAAATGGACATGTTGTTTGCTTGGACTGACTCCGTCTTACTGAGCACATCATCCATAATTGAGGAGCTTCGGTTAGTTCCTTAATTTGCCGCAAGTTTGCCAGAAATTTTGCCAAACCGAGTTTGCCTGTAGTGCAGTGTTGCCGTTTGTACGAGGTTATGACGTAATGTACGAGGTACGAAGATAGACCAGCTTTGTACCTCGTACATAACTTGTGCTGACGTATGCAATGCAAGGTTATATTTTTATGAATGAAGTTTAGAATTATTTTTACTGTATTAATATTTATATTAATATGAAATACTGAACTTCTGTTGCTTTCTAGACAAATAAATTGGAATTATATCTTCTTTAATTAGAGTATGATTATTATTGCATTCATAAAATCATGACTGTAAATATATATTTTTTTTTAAATTTTCTAAAAAATTTTTTTTCGATTTTATCCAGTATGAAATAAAATATAGCAACTATATCCATTATTTCCTTCATAAACTTTTTTTGTAAATATATATTTATTAAAATGTGCTGTAAAGGAAAATTAAAAAGAAATTTTTACCGTCATTTTTATATTGCATAAAATAAAATACGAGAAAGTATAACCATTATTTCCTTCGTAATTATTATTTACGTTATTTATATTATATTGTAAATATATGCTAAATAAATTAAATTTAAAAAAAAATTATTACTGTAATTTTAAAAAAATATTTTCGATTTTTAATCGAGTAAAGTAATTAATTGAAAAATGAACTAGTATTCATAATGGAACCATCTTAAATAATGGGAAAAGGTATTTTTTAGTGGTCCATATTTGTTTTGTCCGAGATCTTATTGTAAGCTAAATACTGAAACAATCACAATCTATTCATTTTTTGTATCATAATGGATATCTCTAAAAGCATCAATGCCCCAAAATTAATTTTTATTGGCCTTCCAGAACCACAAAAGTAGTTGTTCTGTTTTTACAAAAAAGAAAAAAAATTAGTCATCCCCCAAATTAAATCTTGGATCTACTGATGGATACTGATAAAGAGTACTATAATAAGTTTATTTTGCTATTTCAATTTTTATATAAAGTGTCCAGTAGTTTCTAATAGTAGTTTTATATATTTTATTAAGCGAATTTTACTTCTTGACCCATTAACTTAAAAAAAAGTAATGTAAAAAGGCTTTAAAATATATGAATAGAGGTAAAAATAAAAAGCTCTGATCTAATTTTGCTATAAAAAAACAATAACACTGGGCTTACAATAGTACGATTATGAATGAGCCAAGCGTAAGAGGATGTACGAGGCTTCAGTACGAGGTTTTGTCACAGAGCGCGCGGCAACACTGCTATAGTGTGGGCCCAGCCAGTGTTTCAACTGCCTCCCGCTGTGCCACATCCTAAGGTATGTTTTGACTTTTATTGTGATTCTTTTCTTAACACACCTATCCTTCAACTATACACCTTATTATTATCTTCATGCAACCTACCATTCCATTACCGCTTTCAAAAAACTGAATGTCAATTGTCATCTATATATAGTACAACCTGTTTTTTGTTTCTTTATCATCATAACCTTGTTTTTACATTTATTCTTACATTTTAAAGTATTCTTTTAAAATTATTGTTTTCTTATAGAGTTATTTATACTTAATAATCTATCCCAACAATATTACACTAATGTTACCCTATTAATCTTTCAATTTCTTCACTTCTTAACCTTTAGTCCCGTTATCTGTTTATTTACAATTAAAGGTAACCTCCACTTGCTTGTTATCCACTGATATCTTATTATTATGTTATCTTATCCATATTTTAACTTTACTGTAACAATAGTTATTCAATTTTCAATCTATTTATTCGTTAACATTCATGTATTTATTTTCTTTATCTGTTAACCCACAGTTATCTAATGTAATCTCTATGAGTTTGTTATACACTTATTCCTTATCTTTTATCGCAATCTGTTTACTTTTAACTTACATGCTATATTCTTTTTTATTTTTATTTTTATTTCTACTTATTTTACATTTATTTGTATCTTCTACATATATAATTCTTAATATTTAACTACATTGTCACCCACTATATCTCTGATACCATCTTTTATTTCTGTATCTGACAACTTCTTCGTATTTTATATATACTTATATTTATTTTTTATTTTCAACATGTTTTGTATCTTTTGTAGCCCTGAAGACGACCTGCAAAGTGGGTCGAAACTTCGGCAAAAATTAAAATAATTTATATATTTTAATTTTTTTTATTTATTTGACCGCACCCTCGACTAACTCCTACTCATAATAACTACTTAGCTTTATCATCTATCATCGACTGAAAAAGTAGGAAAATATTCGGTACTGGTTATTCATAGTAATTAGCCTAGTTATTTTTTTCATCTACAGTTTTTTGGTCTGTTCCTTAGATACTAGTAACCTGTATAAGCATATCGATGTCTGCTTAGTTCCCTTCTCTGTGACTGGGTTTATCTTTTGTTAACTTGATCAATCAGTTCCTCGAAGAACCAATATTCCAGAGAGTCAAATTATCCTCTCTACTAAATAAGTGATTGATATGTTGTTAGAGTTAATATATTTTACAGTTTGTCTGAACTTCGTATAGCCTTTTATTTGTTTTCATTAGCATGCTATTTAATACATACCAATATTTAGGTAAACTTGTAAGCAGAGATATTCGAATTGATCCAGAAATTTCAAACAGAGTGAGGAAAGCCAATGAGGTCTTCTACCAAACCAGTAATACTTTAATCGGCAAGAAGAAAATTAATAGAAATACTAAACTGGTGATATATAAAACAATATTCGTACCGGTATTATGATATGGAGCATAACCCTGGGCAATTCGAGAGAAGCATACGTCAAGAATAACCGCCACAAAAATGATGTACCTCAGAAGAATTGTAGGAAAGACAAAGAGAGGCTGTATACGTAATAAAGTTGTCAGGGATGAATCAGTAATAGTCTCTGTGAAAGCAAAAATATAGAAACGACAACTCAGGTGGTTGGGATATGTATGGAGAATGCCAGATTCCTTCTTCTTCTTTTTCCATTAGTGTCAGATCCCTGTCACTGATGGCATTAGGTTGCCTACCCTCTGGTTTTGCTTCTAGGAACCATTTTGCCTTTCGGTTATTGCCCATCTGGTTCACATGGCCAAACCAGTTCAGTTGGCGTTCCTCTATGGCTTGTTTTACAGACCTTACATTCAGTTCTTCTCTTATCCTCTCATTTCTACAGCGGTCTCTTCATGTTTTCCCATGAGCTCTTCTGAGATATCTCATTTCAGAAATGAGATATCTCAGAAGAGCTCATGGGAAAACATGAAGAGACCGCTGTAGAAATGAGATGGTTGTTACTTTGTTTATATGTTTGTCTAAGATCGACCAACTCTTTACACCATACAAATGGACATGCAAAAATACTGTTTTAATCAAAGCTATTTTGGTTTTCTTCTTTACCTCCTGTTTCCCTAATATTGTAGATCTTCCACATCTTGGCCGATGAGCATCACCTTACTTTTTGTAGGGTTTATTTCGATCCTCTATCTTTAGAGCTCTTCCGATCATTCATTGATAGCCATTTCTTGAAGCCAATTTTGAAGCCTTTCTTGGGTGTTGGCCACCAGGACCATGTCTTCTGCATATAGGAGAGTTTGTCCATTCACAGGAATAAAATTCCAGGACCCCCTTGTTGTTCTGGGTGTCCTTCGCATACAGACCTTCCATACTTCATCCATGCATATAATGAATATTTGTGGGGTTAACTTACCTTGTTTGAAGTCTTTATAAAACCTCAATGGCTTCAATTCAGACTGCACTGAAGAGACTGGATGGCACCCATTTTTCCTGTAGAGCATTCCAAATCTCTCGGTGAGGAATCGAATCTAATTCAGCCTTCAAGTCGAGGAATGCGAAAAATATTCTTCTTCCTCTATCCCATGCTTTCTCAACAACCATTCTTATTAATAAAATATGATCCTGGGTTTTCCTCCCTGGTCTAAAGCCAGCCTGCTACTCTTCCAGATCATGCTTCACCAATTTTATAAGCCTCTGTTTCAATATTCTTATATATAATTTATATACTACAGATGATAAATTGTTTTCCCAGTACTGAGGTATTTTCTTATTATATCAACGGTCAACCATCTCTACATCATTAAGTAGTTATTAAATTCCTCAATACCCAAACAGGACCAGATTTGAGTGAAATACTCACTAATCATTACCCAGTTTTTACCTACTCCGGCTATCAGTTGCTAACACAATAGCATGAGAGAATAATATAACTCTCCAGAATCTTTGTTTTTAGAAGAACTAGTTGATTTAGTTAATAAATGATTTTTTTTTAACTGCCATGAGAATCTGAAGCAATTGGAGAGCAACTGAGAATTAAGTAATTGGTTTCCTATACTATTAAGGTATAGTATATGTGCAGAGTTTATTCAGAAATTTGATGAATACTCATTTATTGATAGTAGGGAAAATGTATAAAAGAACTTAGAGGAGTACTTTATATTCAGGCTGAAGCAATCCAAAAAAAAAAAATATATATATATCATTTCGACTTTTTTGGTCATTTCCAAACATATTTTATAGGTTATTCTAGATTGTTTTCTATAAATTTTAGCTATAACCTACTGCAACCCTAATTCTTAATCTTCATATTTAATAAAGCAAAATATATCAAAGATGGTGCATGATACTAGATCTTATAGGAGGATAGAGTGTGGTACAAATCACTACTTTTTCAAACCGAAAATAGTTTATCCTTGCAAAAAGAAAATCCACCAAAGATTAGACAATCAGAAGAAAGTGTAGAGGGTGGACACAAAAACAGAGTACCAATTACCACTTTACCTAAAAAATCAGCAATAAAAAAAACTATAAATAAAAAGTTTATTTATATTTATTATAATACATCCCAGATCATAGAAAAACAAGAAATAGAAGCTTTTCGACAGTTAATTGTTGCTGAAAACACGGATACTTTTAGAGGACAGGAATGGTAAATAATCACATGTAAATGAATCTCAAATTTTTGCCAAAT